TGACTGACAGTGTCGTACGACACCCAACGCTGTACCCTAACATTTTCCAGGCTTTCTACGTAGCTGAATCTAGTATTAGCTTTGAAAACCCATTGTATGAGTGGTGGGTGGATGGGTTGGAAACGTGTGCTCTCTACACACTGTATGTTACTCACATCAGAAGCTGTATGGCCACTCCATATGCTGTGAAACTGTACATGATTCCCAATACACCTGTAACTCTTACCAGGATTGTGAGAAATAAACTATATATAGAGATATATATACACACATAGATATATTGTATAATTCCTCATGTGAGCATCTTTGAGTGAAAATGGCTGTTCTCCCTCTCACTCCTTACTCATGTCCGTGTTTCCTGCAGGCTCAATATTTGCTAGGGTTAGCGATTCCAGTAAGAACTGTAAGAAAAGGCAGTCCCTGCCCCAAATAAACTCCAGCCTGCCCAAGGAAAGCAGGCAAAGGAAGATTATTTTTATTCCCACATAGGAACTAGGGCGTAGAACAATTAACGACCTATCCAGAGCCCCAGAGGAAACCCTTTCTGATCCCAGTGTTCCCCTGTCCTGCAGGCTGGTCTCCAGGCTTTGCTGCACGGTTGTCTGCTGTGACCTCTCCCCTGCCAAATTAAGGTGTGCTCTAATTTGCTTGGTTTTGTTTTTAAGTTGGCCCGGGAGCGTCCGTCCTCACAAGTAAACCATCCCCTGAGCACCCGGCTGATGTCCGTGGGGGTCCCTGCACATCGGCGTGAGCCAGGGATTCCCTCCGACCTGTCAGAGGGGAGGAGGGTTTCGGCAGTACACGTCACTGCGAATAGTTGCCGTCACATTACACCAGCCCCAAACAGGGTCTCTGCAGAAATCTGCAGGCTTTTGGAAATGAATCTCTCAAGAACTGGGAAGACAAATATTGTAAACCCTTTGGGGTCAGGAAAAAGGGGCAGCCTTTAGTTGCAAAAGCCTTAATTATCTGAGATTTTTGCTGCAGAAACACAGCTGAGGACTCAAGTTTTAGCTTGTCTTAATATTCCTAAGGGGGTGTGCAGCCGTGACTGGGAGGGCGGCAGGGATGGTACGGCAACAGGCGATGCCGCAACTTGGAAGGTTTCCCCGTAATTTGGAATCAGTGGCAGCACCCGCGCAAACTGTCCTCCTCGGCCTGAGATGAAACGGTACCGCTCGCCTGATGGAGAGGAGGGGGAACGGGCTGGGGAATCTTCCCATTGTGTCTCCTACAAACAAAAAATGTGTTTCCCTTCTCACTGCCAAGGAAGGCAGCGGCACAGACACATCGGTGTAGTTGCGGTGTCAACTGAGAGAGCAAAGCTAGCATCAGCTCAGTGCTTTCAAACACTGGTTTGGATATCTTCCCATCCGTTCTGTGTTTCGTCTACTTCTTACCCTCCACATATTTACAGAAATTTAAAAAGTATGAAAAGCAGAGGCTATGTTTACAATTATCTTAGACTATGCATTGCTTTTCCCTGCTCCCTTCTACTCTAGCCATCATTTAGTCACAGAAAATGACACGGTGCCAAATCACTGCACTTTAAACGAGAAGCGCAGCAGTTATGTTTTACCAGATGGGATTTGAAGAGGAAGCACTCGGCTGACTTAACATAACCGTTACGTCCAGGCTCGAGCAAAACCAACAGTCTGCGTGAAGCAGCAAATAATTTATATCGTCCTCGTGATCCTGCCACAGTGCTTGTTACTACTCACGCTTGCTAACCTCCCAAATTAAGCACAGAGGGGCTGCAAAGCGATTCTAGTGCTTGCTGGAAGAGAATTCAACAGAAGACCGTTTGCAAAACCGAGCTCTGGTAAAACTGAGGCATTGGCACCTACGGAGCAGTGGAGGACCAAGTATTAAGACATCGCTGTATAATTTAATCTGGGGTGCTCTCACATGCATTTTTTCCTATGTCTTCACCTTAAATCATTGTCAAGTCCTCTAATGCTTTGTATTTTGGGCAGTCTAGGGTGGATGGGAAGAGCTAACGGAGCAGGATTTGAGACAGCAGTTTGCTTTTTGCTCTTGGCTACAGTAAACCCCACTGGATTCACAAGCAAGGAATAAGGAACATTAATGCGATGCTCCATGCCATAAAGGCATAAAGGCTGCTGGAGTGGCACTAAGTCCCCTGCCCGGCAGCTAAACTGAATAGTGAAAGATACGCTTTGCTTTTG